GCTCTGAGCCTGGAGCCTGCTTCCGATTCTGTGTCCCCCTCTCTCTCTGACCCTCCCCTGTTCATGCTCTGTCTCTCTCTGTCTCAAAAATAAATAAACATTAAAAAAAAAAGAACAATAGAAATGGGAATTATGCTTTGAAAGCACACGTGAGCCCAGGGACGCCTGGACGGCTCAGTCTTAAGGTTAAGTGTCCGACCTCAGTTCAGGTCATGATCTTGAGGTTCGTGGGTTTGAGCCCCGCGTCGGGCTCTGTGCGGACAGCTCAGAGCCTGGAGCCTGTTTCAGATTCTGTGTCTCCCTCTCTTTCTGCTCCTCCCCTGCTTGCGCTCTCTCTCTCTCTCAAAAATAAATAAACATTAAAAGATAGATAAATAAAGTAACCTGTAAGCCCAGGAAAACTTTTTTCAAATGTCAAGTGCGGAAATGACCGATTATGATAATTACTGATTTTTCATTTTTTTTTTTAAATATCCCTTCTGAAGGTTCCTACCTTTCAACTACTTAAAAATGGATTAACAAAAATGTAAGAAACAGAGCATTTTGGAAACCTGATTTTACCTTGTAGCCTCCGATGCGATGTTCCTGCTTAAATTCCCTTCCGTTTTTCAGCCACCTCATTGTTGGTGTTGGATTCCCCCCAGCTGGACAGCGAAACTTGACTGTGTTGGCTGCAGGGACCGCATGCAGTCGCTTTTCCATCTTTTCTGTGTTCGTCCAGTATGGCGCTCCTGTTGTGGAAAACAACGTTATAACGTATGGAAAGGGAGAGCTTCATTTCCGTGACACGGAAGAGAATTTTACTTTGTAGGTGGACAATCTGACATTTTCAAAATCTCTGGGTAATATGTCCATGAGGAGAAAACTGTTCCGAAGTCTAGCAGATGGCCTAGCAGAAGGTCCCTGGAGATGAACTTCTTGTTAGTTTCTCTTTCTTAATGGGGGGGGAAAAAGTGTTTGAGGTACCTTCTCTCCCTTGTTCTTAGTGCCGGGATATAAATTCATGTTGAATCATGCTTTTAAATGCTACTTTATATGGACAGCGACAACGCATACAGCCGCAGCAGCTGAGTCCTCCAGAATGGATCCTTTCAGATCACCGTACCTAGCAAACGATCGCATACACACACAAGCAAGTTGTGCTCGAAGCCACGTCAACTTACCCACCGAAGCTTTAAAGGCTCAGCAAGGAGATAACTTCCCATCCTAATAGGGTAAATTTTTCAGGGACGCAGCATTAACTTCGCAGCGCTTTATGTGACAAATCAAAAAGCCCTCGCACTATGTTTTAATTTTTGTTTTTTATTTTTTTATTAAAAATTTTTATTTATTTTTATATTTGAGAGAGAGAGAGAGAGAGAGAGAGAGCGCGCGCGCGCACAGGGGAGGGGCAGAGAGAGAAGGAGACACAGATTCGAAGGAGGCTCCAGGCCCCGAGCTGTCCGCACAGAGCCCGATGCGGTGCTCGAACTCACGAGCGGTGAGATCGTGACCTGAGTTGAAGGCGGACGCCTAACTGACTGAGCCACCCAGGCGCCCCTGTTGTTTTAATTTTTTAAATGGAGGAAAGAGTTTTTGGTGGTTGTGAATGCCATAATTCTACTACCATGTCTGAGCAGAAAAAAACTTACTAGGAGGCTACGGATTATATGCTATGTAAAATTAAGCCCTCTGAATGGCCCTCAAAGTCATGGATACAAACAAGCGACCCTTTAAACTCAAAAGAAGACACAACTTTTTAAGTTGCCAAATGAGGGGCATTTGATCTGAATCAGAACCACAGCATCAATCCAGGATACCGCCATAATTCTTCATGCCGGCCAACAACAACGGCTACCGAGCACTGACTGAGTGCTTTGTGTTTACCAAACAGAGCTCTAAAAGCTCTTCCGTGTTTAACCTATTAATCCTGACACCAATCCAACGAGAGAGGCATTATCACAATCCCTGTTTAGAGATGAAGAAACTGAGGCACAGAAAAGCTACAAAGCTAGAGATACAGGCCGATTTGAGCCGAGGCAGTCTGATTCCAGAATCTTTGCCCCTACTTCCATGGCTAGTTAAGAACCAGCTTCGGGGCGCCTGGGTGGCGCAGTCGGTTAAGCGTCCGACTTCAGCCAGGTCACGATCTCGCGGTCCGTGAGTTCGAGCCCCGCGTCGGGCTCTGGGCTGATGGCTCGGAGCCTGGAGCCTGTTTCCGATTCTGTGTCTCCCTCTCTCTCT